CCACTTTGCTGGTATAATTGTAAGTAATGTAATTGGATGAGAGTGTGAATCAGAGATGTCCATCGCGGTTGAGAGTCTGCCGCTGCCGCGCCGCGCCGATATGTTAAAAAAGCTAACGCGCCGCTGCCGCACCGCGCCTCTATAAAAATTTGCCGCTACCGCGACGCTGCCGCGATGGGACTTTTAAAAATCTTCCGATTTTCAAGGCTGAGAGTGGTTTAAACGAGAGCTGTTGCTGCTAATCGATGAGATTCCTCTAGCTTTACACTGCAGAATACGTTAATGTCGATTTATGTGTGAATTTCATTATTTTTTAAAATTATGTCCTCAAAAAGCTGCCGCGACCGCCGTGGCGTTCGCGGCGCGGCAGCGGTAGCGGCAGCGCCGCCATGGACATCTCTGGTGTGAATGTTCTTGTAAGTCAATCTGCTCTCCATCCACATTCGCCATTACGTATAATCAGAGTCACCCATGCCCTCAGGGGAGCATTTGTCGGAGATATTTATAACAAAATAAACTAGCTAGTTTATAGATTGTTAATTTCTTTCAAAATGTTATAATTATTATTAAGAGAGTAATAAAAAAATGTTTAGATTAGACTGAAACGATAAAAAAGAAACTATTTTTTTCTAATTACTAGGACATTATTTTCAAAGTGTCAGAATACAGAAAAATGCATTTTCGAAAGAGATTAATAAGTGATAAATTAGTTCACGTAAGAAATAGTTTATTCACGTACATTCTATTGATGTGATTCTAATTATATAGAGAATGTATAAGGAAAAATAATTTGTGAGCCAACAGGCAAAAACGACACTGTCACGATAAAAAAAAGTTTACCTGATATCGATGATAGCTGTTTAATATCATGTTGAACCGTTGACATACATTGGTCATTGAGCATAGCATTGTAAAGTCTGACTGATGATCGAGAATTTGGTAGACAAGTTCTACCGGTAACGTATGGAAGTTCGCGACAGTTGAATTTGCCATTGTAGACTTCTGATGAAATACGCGTTTTGTAACGTTGTATGTTAGTGATATGATGTGTTTGTATTTTTTCTTCCTACCTGAATGAATATATATTCGTCATGCCTCATATATTTCACATGATGTTGCAATTACTTGTTAAAAGGGAAAAACCCGAAAAAAAATGACGTCAACTATAAAATGACAGAACTGATATAGCAACTGTACACCACGTTTTTGTTAAGATTGTATTATTGATATCAAATGGTATATAATAGACATAAATATTGTGTTCTCGTTATAATCAACAAAGGTTTAATGGCATTTTCTTTCAAAATCTATATTGATATTTGTTCGTAAAATCAAACACAAATGTTTTATAAGATGAAATAGAATTTAGTCTCACGAAACAGAGTCAGACAAATAAATCAAGGAAAAACATAAGATCATTAATTTCATGATTGGCGAATGTTAGTACAATCTGGTCTGTTGTTCGACAAATTAATTTGAAATTTTGAGAATATTTTACTTCATAGACTGAAATTTTTTCAGATACGATTAATCGTATGATTTTATATGTACTTCGATTTTGATTATATACTGACTAAATCATTCAGCTCTTTCGTCATCATAAACATAAATATGATTGATCAGGAAGAAACAAAAATAAACATTATGAGCACAACTTTGGATTGCCTGCTATTGTTTGTTTGAAAAAACAATATAGCTTTGTACGGGAATCTTCAAATTACAAAAACTCGTGAAGAACTATATAAATGCTTTGCTTCGCATTAATCATAAGACTAGCTTACTTACTAAATAAAATGTCATATTTTATAGAAGTATAGTCAAGTAAGAATATAGCAAGAAGAAAATAATCAGACATATAAATTTGATTAATTAAAGAACAAGTTATTTTCCTAATTTTATTTATATTATCATAGAATTAAACTCCAATGGTTCAATATTTATTATATAAAATGATTCATTTATTCATAGAAAACTATTATTTTTACTTAAAGTACTATAGTATTATCTAGATATAAGGCTTTGATTTTATATATATATATCTGGAAATGGAAATAGAAGTTGCTTTTTTATTATGAAAAATACTCATAATCGCACTACAGTAAACAGAATGTTTTCTTTTATAAATAGCAGTTAAGCATATAATTTGAAAAACCATTGAAGCATAATGTAAAAAAAAGGAAAAATATATGTTTCATTAATTACTTTGATTTATTTTGAACCTAGAAGTAAAAAAATCGTTCATGCATTTTTCCTCATAATAGTGTAATTAGAAAAGAAACATGTTTCATGTGAACATACTTATCCATTAATTAAGTACATATATATATAATTATACAGAACAGTATCTTATAGAAGTCTGAAGAATGACTGATTATAAGAATAGATTCAATTAAGATTTAGGTTAGTCTGATCTTTTTACAATGTTCACTTGATTCATTCGAGGAAATGAAAGTCTTTAATTATAAAATAAAAATAGTATCCAAATGGATTAGAATTATGAAGTATTCATCAGTCACGATACGACTAGGAACATGCTGTTTTTTTTCTTTTCTATATTTCTTAAATACAAAACATAAATATTTTGAAAATTTATTTAATTAATAAAAATAAAATTATCGATGATGTTTTCGTTTACAAATATATCTCAAACGATGTAAGAATCGTTGTTTAAATTTTAGACGATTTTCAGTTTTTCGTACATATTCTCGAGTCTGTTTAATTGAATCTTTCAATGTGTTTATATCATAATTAAGTCGATCACGTTCAGTACTTAAATTATCAATTTTCTTTTTTCCATATGCAACAATACAACTTGATATATCAATATATAAAATATCTTTTAACCAACAACGTTTGCGACATGTTGGACAGACTAGAAAAGAATAATAGATTGACAAAAAGAAAAATATGTTACATAATTTTTTTCTTTACCTTTATTTGTTGTAAACCATTGATGAATACATGTTGCACAAAACATATGTCCGCATTTCAAAGCTACAAGTTGTTGTTGATCAACACCAAAACTTTCATAACAAATAAGACATGAAAATAAATCTTTTGGTATGTAAGTATGTAATTTTGTTGATGATGATATATTTGTTGTTAATGTTAAATTATCATCAATCTTCGTTGTTGGTAATGAAATCTCGTTGTTATTCATAAGAAAAGAATAGATTTTATTTTGTTATTCTTTTGCCGCGTAGTTAAGAAGAAAAAAAAATATACTAATCAATATTTTTAGTGTTACAAAAAAATTTTCTTATAACAATATAGACAGAGCACATCTGGTCGACATGATTAATTGTGCTAATTTACTAACATGAGATCGAATATCAAAATGATCAAACTTCTATTTTTCTAAAGAGAAATAGATCATTTCATGAGATAATAATTCAACGATTTTCCGTTGAAAATAAGATAAGATTGAATGATTCGAGACTTATAGAGCCAGCTTAACTTATAATAATCGAATAGAGAGATATTTCATATTCGATTCTGAGAGTTAATCTTATAATTTACGATTTATTAGTATATACTACAATTTAATGGAACAACTGCTTGAAAAAAAGGATACCTTTGTAATTCTTGCAAACAAATATATATATATAAGAAAAATATTGACATATCTTATATCATTATTGGTCCACTGTTTTATACTCCAACTGGTTTGATTATGTAATTCTACAGTTAGTTAAAACGATATTTATTCAAAAATCTTCTTTTCTAATTAAATCATTTATTATCAGTTATCAACGATAATTTCGAGGATATTGGCGTAAATGTCACTTAGATCTTTTTTGTGTATGATACATGCTGTAATGGTTACAAATGTATAAAGAATATCTAAGATGTTTACATAGTATATATATATGCACAAACAAATAATTATGAATAAAAAGCGTAGAATTATTACTAATATCACTTAGACATGTAAAACTTATTAAATAATGAACGCAATAGTTTTTGATGAAAATTTCGCTTGAGTAAATATGTATAGAGATAAATACATAAAATAGAATATATTAAGAGAAGTCTCTGTTCACCTTGTCATTTTCGATTTGTGTCTAGTTCTCTTGTTCTTTTCCCTTGTGCTTTTCTTTCATCATTACTGTCCTTCAATAGATCCAGCAACAGAAAAAAAAGATTTTATCTGTAACAAGAAAGAAAGAGAGAGAAAGAAAAAACAAATGTAATGATTAATATCGTTCATTGTCGCAAGAAATGACGAAACATTCATTCATTTGTAATTCTATCTTTGTGCTTTTTGTTGTTTTTTTTTGTATTGGGAATTAAAAGTTAAAAGAAAATATTAGATAGAAGTTTTGTCTTGTTTATTAATTAAAGCCGTATTAAGATATATAGTTTCAATCAAAGATTAATTTAGACATGTCAAGTATTCTTTTAATAATTATATATCTTTTCCTATATTGAGTGTCTTTTTATTAAGACTATTTTAACTATTGCATGAGCTATGTTTGTACTTAGACTTCTTTTGTCATTGACCCGTTTGTTTACGTTTTCTCTCGACTTTTTTTGTTCTAATTGATGTGAGTCTGAATATCATTATCACATATACACACACACACACACATATATATATATATATATGTGTGTGTGTGTACGTAAATTGACTGAGACGATGAATGATATAGAAATAATGATGACTATTGAACTCGTTTCTCTTTAGCTTAAGGAGATGATAACTCTCTTGTGATGTACACATTCCATCCTTCTTCTGTAATGTGTCTCATACCTCCTGTCATGTTTATTTGGAGTATTCTCTTTCTTTTTTTCTCTGTCTGTTTAGTTGTATAACAGTATATTTCTATATTCTATAATAAAGACTTGTTCTACGAACTACCTCATACGTGAATTTCATATTAGTTTTTCTACATAAATATTTAATTCGATAAATAAAAAATCAATTTAATCATTTGCTTTCTTTTTCTTTTTGTACGGACATAATTATATAATAATAAAAATTTTATTTTTAGAATGACATGATTGGTAATAATACAACTTTATTAAATGATGTCGAGCATGACTCGACTTCACCATATCAAAATGAAACTTTAAGTTCATTGATATTTTTTACAATTGTTTATATTCTTGTACTTATATCTGGTCTCGTCGGCAATTTTATTGTTCTTTTTGTTACATTAAAAAATAATGATTTAAAACATTTTACAAATTATTTTTTCGCTAATTTAAGTGCAGCTGATGTATTTGTTCTTTTATTTTGCATTCCAACAGCTATACATGATATATGGGCTAAAGATCAATGGTATATGGGTAAATTTTTTTGTTTAACTAATCAATATATTGAAAGTTGTGCAACAAGTGTTTCATCATTAACTATAATGGCTATTAGTTTTGAACGTTTTATTGCTATATGTGAACCATTTAAAGTAAATAAATTTGATTTTATGATTGAAAAATATAATCATCTTATTTAGGTTCATGATATATTCAATGAAACATTAACATTAGTTACTATATTATTAATATGGGCAATTGGTTTAGTTTTTTCATTACCATTTTTAATTTTTGCTTCATATGATCCATCATTTAATCCAACTGATTCATTAAATGATACATCAAATCTTATAACTCTATGTCAGTTAGATGCCAACTCAAAGTTAGCACGTTATAGTATAACATGGTTCATTATTACACTTATTTTTATACCATTTTTTGTTTTAATATATATTTATGCACGTATTATTTTGGAATTAGTACGTCATCGTGCTGTTCGATTACGAGCAATAACAAAAAATCAACAACAACAACAACAATATGATGACGAAACAAATAGTTTTAGTGGTGGTATAAGTTCACAGGATCAACAACAATCGAATTCATTTCTTAGTTATAAACGTTTTGAACAAAAACGTCTTAATACAGTTATTATTTGTGTTGTAACTGTTGCATTTTTCGCATGTCAATTTCCAGTACGTATTATACAATTAATTGATATGTATGGACGTATACAAAATGAAGAAACAATGCCACATTTAGTATGGATATGGTTATGGAAATTATCAAAATTACTTTTTTTTCTTAATTTTACAGCAAATCCGGTAAGAAAAGAAATTAAAAAATATACATATTTACTTTTTTTTCTTCTTCAATTTGTTAATAGATTATTTATAATATTTTATCAACGAAATTTCGTCGTTCATGCCGACGTTTACTTCAAATTCATCGTTCAATAAGTTTTGGAACAAATTCTTCACGTAAAACAAGTATAACATCTTATTTATATTTAAGTATATATAAAAAAAGCCATCGACAAAGTAGTTTACAAAATACCCAACAACAATATCCATATAATCATCATCAAAAATTTAATTTAATACGTGCTCATTATGATAGTGATAATCGAGATTTAGTTACAGTTGGAAATAATGAAGATATATTTATTCCAACATTTCAAGTATTAAATGAAGACGAAAATGAAAATATTGTTCATTCATAGACTTTATTTATGACAATAAGGCCGAACAAATGACTGTATATAACCATATATATAATATTAGTGACATTTTTAATTATTTTCCTTTCCGTTCAAAGGAAATAGTTAATAAGTTTTATTTCTTTTTTTTCTCTTCCTTTATCTTTAAAAAAATAAACGATTTCTTGACAATGTATTGTTAATATTTATTACATTTACCTTTGATTGTGCAAAAGAATGATTAATTCACAGCGTTGTGAGATAGTTTATATATTAAAGTACAATTCGTATTAGAATAATGATATTTATTGTAGATCAAAAGTTATTTTGACTGTTGTTACAGTAATAATCTATCTTGTCTAGATCTACGATGTCATCTGAAGAAGCTGAAAAAATTCTGATGTTAAGGAAGATAATGTCTTGTAATTAATCTTGTTCAGATGGTATAATTCATAACATATCTCATAGAATATAAATAATGAAAATTTAGTAAACAGTATTACATGTTCGAATGTTAAAGTTCATAATTTCTTTTGTGTGAAGATTCTTATCTAATGGAGGTTATTGATATTCAAACAGCAGAAGTTTTTTTACTAACTACCAGTGGCGAATCTAGGATTTTGGAAGGAAGGGCGATACCTGAGGAGTGGGGGGGGGGGCGATTTTGGTTAAAAACTATTTTTGGGCCCAATCGAAGTAGCGTGAACTTATTTTTGCTGTAAAAAATCAAAAACAATTTCAAAGGGGGGGTGATGAGGGTGATCGCTCTCCCCCCCCCCCTAAATCCGCCACTGTTAGATACAGCTCGGGAAGGTCGAGTTGAATAAAATTCAACGTTCCATCAAGTAAGATTATAAATAGAATAATAACAATACTTAATCGAACTCTCAGAATTTAATTTGGGAAAGCTAACTCAAATGTTTTCTACGGCATTCTTCTACTATCAATTAGTCATACAATTATAAAATGTTCTGTTATAGATCGCATTTCTTTGATAAAGCAAAAACAAGAAAATGCTATCTAATTCTCTTTGTATTTCCAAAACAAAATAATCAACCAATATAGCAGACACCTATTGTTCACAAAATTTAATTCACATACAAATCAATATAAATAGTCTTATTTGAATTAAATTAAACCGGTATTTAGCGCTATCTATGATAAGTAGTGGTCATTATTATTCTGATTTGTGTATATATATATATTTAGAAGATTATTATAATTATAAGAATATCCACTTCAAAATAGATAAAATTAGAATAATGTCTGATCTAATATCATTATTAGATAAAGAACGAAAACGACCATTAGTATGTTTGGATAGTTTAAAAAATTTAAAAACAACTATTATTGAAAATATAACATCAAATGAATGTAAATTTTTAAATGATTATTCGGATGAAATTGAAAAGAAAAAACGAAAAGAATTGCAAATAACCCCAAATCGTAATGTTTTTATTGAACATGATTCGAAAACATTTTCATCTCAACGAATTGTTACTTTAAAGTTAGCATAGCTATTGATATGTTTTTTTCAAAATTTCATTTCTTTTTTTAAAGAGAACACGATGAACAACAAAGTCTCGAACAATCAAATATAGATAATATTCTAAATCCACTAAAACGTATTGTTATACCTCAAACTATATCATATGACAAAGAACAAAATCAGGGTAATTTTATTATTGTAAGCATCAAAATCTTTGAAATATTTATTGTAGAAAGAAACGATAATCAAGTCATTTCACAATCCAAGAAACGTATTGTTATCATCGATAATACAGGTATGAAATTATGTGAGGTTTCGATATATTATTAATAACTGACAGATTAGCGTATTTTCTAATTCATTGAGTTTTTATCAATAGATTCAAATGAAAAAGAATCAACAATTGTTTCACAATCTCAATTAGTTTCATCAGTACCTTTAATCGATTCATTATCATTTTCTTCATTATTATCATCTTCTTCTTCTACTCATACATCAAGTCATATAATAAATCAAGAATATTTAACACGAATATGTCAAATACTTACTTCTTGCAATACTTCTAATAATGAATCGAAATCTGTTTCTAAATCGTCAGATGTATTCGGGTAAATAAAATAGAACATCTCGTTCTTCTTTAATATATAGTATCTTCATTATAGCGTTACTAATAATGATAATACCAATAATAATAAATCACATTCTACAACAACAAATATTAATAAATCTTCTATTAGTAATCGATATCCTCAATTTGAATGTGTTCGTACTCCAACACAAGAATCTCATTCATTTATACCGCCTGAATTACTTGATTGTTGTGAATCGTAAGTTATTTTTTATATTCCTTTTGTATTTATATATTAAAATTATTATCTAGTAATCAAAAACAACAATCAATATTGAATAAAAATCAATCAGAATATTGGGATAAATTTCATACATCAACACTATTACGTGAAACAATGATTAAAATATCAAAACGGTTGATAAAAACTGAATCTATACCAATTGTTGATACACATTGTCATTTTGATTTAATTTTTGATCGGTATAAACATCTTTTTTTTCTTCGGTTAATATCATCAATATAAATATTTTGTATTTTTCTAGTCTTTATATCAAACATAATAATTTAAGTCAATATTTTGATGATTATAGAGATTTATATCCATCTGGTCTTTCATTTGAATTAGCTATTCATGTATTTTGGAGACCAAGACATTTAATTGAAGGTAACTATATGATTTGATTTCGTTTTTCTTTTTAAATTTTTCTTTTTATAGATAAATGGATAAAATGGTATTCAAAATATTTAAATGATGAACGTGTATATGGTGCATGTGGAATTCATCCACATTGGAGTTCATCATGGAAAGAATCATCGATTGATGATATTGAACGATGTCTTCAACATCCAAAAATAGTTGCTATTGGTGAAATTGGATTAGATTTTGGACCAAAGTAAAACTATGCATTAAATTGTATTTCAATTGTTTTTTGTTTTATTTAAAGAAATACATGTAATCTTGATCAACAATGTCGAGTATTTGCAGAACAACTTCAACTAGCTGTTAAATGGTCAAAACCAATTGTTATACATTCGAGAGATGCTTATGAAAAAACATTTGATATAATGAAACAAGTAAATATAATTAAGAAGACTCATTTTTTCAAAGAGATAGAATGAAGTGTTAGATGTCCATATGCCATAGGGAATAGCTATCCATTCGATCTGAATCCAGTTGTTTGATGATCTTTTTGAGACTGCATATAGTCATACAAGAGCATTTATAACTTATATGGAGCAAAAGTGTTGGAGCGAGATTCCAGAATTTTGCTAACATGCTTATAGGAAATTCGTTATTGTGATTATATGATAACATATGCATAAAAATAGCTTCTAGTAAGTGTATGTAGGAGTTTAGATTATAATATGCTTATTCTAATAATATTAGGTTAATTTGTCACATGTATTTTACACTAATCTTGTTTTATTCCTACTGGCGAAAATCCACTGGACTTACGCCAAATCGCGCCTGAACTTTCGCCAATTGGCGAAGAGACAGTAAGCCTCCCTATTAAGTTATAAACTGACAACAGAAGCAATATAGATACTTCTGTTTATACTATATGATGAGTATACATAGTCCGTTCAAACAAAACAAAAAGAGATTGTAGCCACATATGACGAGTATTATAATCTTGATATCTTTCTTTTCAATTGTTTAGTTTAATTAAAATGATTGCATCTAGAATCATATCATAAAGTCCTTTCCATTCATATATAATATATTTCTTTTAGTATCTTGAACCTGATCACAAGATTCATTTACATTGTTTTGTTGGAACAATAAATGATGTTTATATGTTTACATCATATTTTACTGGAATTAAATTTGGTTTTACTCCTATAATATCTCGTGGAAATTATCTTCATACAGTTCTACAACAACTTGATTTAACTCAAATCTTATCTGAAACTGATTCACCTTATTTTGTACCTGAAGAAGTAATTTATTTTATTAGAAATAAAATAAAATAAATCAAATTTATTATTTTAGCTTTCAAATTTATCACGTTGTGCTCATCCAGGTATGGTTTATAGTGTTGTGGAAACTATAGCAAAAATTCGACAATTATCTATTGATATTGTTGCTCATCAATTAAGAGCAAATGCTCGGCAAATTTATGGTGTTTAAATAAATAATTTGATTTGTTTTTTTTTCTTCTTTCAATAGATATGAAAGTGTGTATTACTAGGTTTTCTTTTGTATATGTATTCCGTTTCTATAGTATGATTCATTTTGATGAAATAAATTTTCGTTTTGAATGCAAATTTTTGCCAATATGTAAAAAAAAGAAGTTGTTTGTTCTTTTTATAATGCAAGATTATTGACAAGAAAAAGGAAAGCGTAGAAATTGAATCGCCCTTGAACAATAAAGGTTAATATTATATAATGATTATTTGCTTATTAAAATTGTGTAGAATCATTTGACTAGGAGTGGTGGCTTAGCATTAATGTAAAAATAATGCACAGGTTTATTTTCGTAAAGGAAACATTAGATATCGATTTATGCACTAAATTGGCATTAGTACCACTAATGCTACTATTAATTCCAAAAATTCAGCATTAATTAACTTTCGCTGAGAAATAAATCAATGCATTATTTTCAGTTCTAATGCTAAGCCACCACCTCTACATTTGACAGTAGATTTTAGTCTTTATTTCTGCCGCACAAATGTTTCTACAATTATAAAGTAATTTTGACAAAGAGATTGTATGCATATCAAAAAACCAAAGTTTTAAATCTATTTGATTTAGTTATGCAAAGGAAACACCATGTAACCTCAACATCAATGCCATCGGGTTATTCAGTACACTCGATAGTTTATATTCTGAATGTTTATTCTCACTTGTCAAAACGTTTGTTTTATGTATTTATCTCAGTAAAAACGGCTATAATTGTATGAAGGAGGCAAAATGAATTGTTTGCTTACATACTATGTTAACAAGCACTATTCAAAAAACGGATTCGATAAGAAAAATGCCAAATGTGTTTTTCGGGTTCCACCTGCTGTAAGTAACTTGGAAAAACTTTGCCTTTTCTTTTGAATGGTGAAAACAGCAGATCGGTATCTATCTTCGATAAAAAGTTGTAAGCATTTTCCCCATTGATCTTCTATTAAAATTTGTATAAGTTTCTTTTTCTAGGATTTTAAGACTAGAATCAGTAGAATATAATACACATGGATTTATGGAGAAGTTGTATGTATTCGATAGAATTTAAATATTTTTATATGCTACGATTCTATAAATAAGAGAATTGTTCTAT